CCCCCCCCCAAGACGGTATGGAATTTGCTCCCCGCGACGTAGCCTCCCACGGAGACTCCGACGCTCCTTGTCCCAAGACTGGCCCGAAGGCTACGCAAAGGCGTGTCGGCAAGAAGACCGATGCCGCCGTTGATGCTGCTGGACCTGAGCCCGGCAACACCACGGTAGCGTCTGGCGCCCGAAGAAGGCCAAAGAGATGTCGAAGAGCGATCTGAAGGCGGGGCCAAGTACTTCTTCGCTCCAGTACTTTCACATCGACGGATTTGCCGGATCTAGTTCCCGAGGTCGTCGCTGAGTTCAACGTCAAGCGGACCGGCGCCAAAAGCAGACTAACGAGGGCAAGAAAGACGAGAAGGCGCCTCACGTCCCGAGCGGCATAGTTCCCGTCGATAGCTCAGACGTCGAGAACACCAGCTCGTCCGAAGACGAGTATATGTCGCCGCCGCTTCCGCTTCCTCCGACGCCATCGCTGCCGCCGTCGCGTAAGTGCAGCGCCAAGTCGGCAGCTCCTGTGTCAAAGGTAGACGCAGGCCCCGTCAAGTAGCGTGCGACTTGGTCAAAGCAAGCACCGTCTAAGCCGGAGGTCAGTCCCTTCGCTCGACTTCATATAAGCTTTGACTAACATACGATGGAAGCAGCCTGTTCCTAGTAAGGCGGAGGAGAGCCACAGCTCTGACTGCATCATCATACGGAACTCTACAGTCGATCGCGAGAAGGCTTGAGAGTTAGAGAAGGCATCGGAGAAGGTTAAGTGAGCGCTTACTGGTCTTGTACGGATCGCCGGACAGAGTAAACACCGCGAAAGCGTGCACGTGAAGCCCAGGCCTGACGATTTCCTGATGAGCTGGAAGAACTCAACGAGCCTGCGAAGAACTCGACGCGTGGTAGGCGTAGGAAACCCACTCCGCGTCGTACAAGTGCGCGCCTGCGTCGAGGAGCAAGGTGAGAAATAACTTAGCGTGTTGCTCTTGATCTTGCCGGCCATTCGTAGGGCAAGGGTCGTCAATCACATATGGAGGTGTTCAGGGACGTCAAGAAGGTACAGCTGTGTTCTAAGTATACGTACACACCGGGCGCGTATATGCGCAAGAGAACCTTCCGTGGTAGTATAGCGCTGCACTGGAACCACCCACGGGACTTATACTGCGACTACGTTACCACAAAGGGGCGGACGGGAGGGAGGTGGTGGGGATCATCCGGTTGGTGGCCGGTTGGTGGCCGGAGGAGGCAAAGCGCATGGTGCCAGACTCCAGTAGGCCTCGGCACTTTCAGCGTCAACAAATGTCAATAGGCAACGTCTCGATAATTAATCAACGGACGCACGTCACTTCGACTTCATCATTTCAACTTAGACCATCATCTACCCTCCCCATTCTTTCGAATTCCCCTCCATCCCGTCACCCGTTCATGGGGTCGCAGGTGCGCCACAAGTCCCTTCGGTGATCCCTAGGAAGCGCTCTACTGCAACGTGGGGACTGCGTGTGTACGCCACTCTTGCCATCCGCGCCAGGCGTGTACTTCGGCGCAGCGGCATTTTTCGTGAGAGACAAGTTGCCTCGCTCCATTTTCTCGTGTACGTTTCACTAACATCTATACATAGTCATTGCGTGCAGGGGGGGGGTGATAGTTCCCCGACGAAAAGCTATCTTATACCGTTTCTGGGTCTATACGCTCCCGCCTACGCCCCCATCGGCCGTCTATACATTGTGACTAACACGTCTGTATGTGTTTAGGAGGAGAGCAATGACGAGAACCATGTTTAGATGAAGGCATGTTACGCTGCGCATCTTACCCCGGCCAAACGCTCGTTGGTTTTCAGGCCAAGATCAAAGCCCCGCGCCACAGGGCGCCGAAGCGGGAGTCTGTCGTGAGTACTCGTACGCTCAACGTGGTGTGGACTCAATCCTTACACGCTTCGCGTACACTGGCAGGGCTCGGCTTGTCGTCTGCAAATTGTGCGAATGAAGGCCATTCTCATGAATCATAGCGAGCGGGAGCCTCCCGTAAGCGCGAGCGGGAAGGACTTCGGCCCGCGCCCGTCATTAAAGGTACCAGGGCGGACGCGAAGTCGTAATTCAAGGAGCTGATTGCGTCGTAGATTGGTGTATTGGAGTTGTAGGTGCGTGGGCAGCCTCATTGCGCCAATGCCTTGCTACCGACGGCTGCAGCAGATCTCTGTGTATTCTCCCAGTCATCTGACCCCATTTCCTTTGCGGCTCGACAACATCGCATCCGTCACGCTTCAACCGCGTTTCCCGTTGCACACCCCTTTCACGAGCGCGCAACCGCCTCTTCCCCCGCGTCTCGTCTCAACGCATTTCCTCTTCCGCTGTCGGTCTCCGATTGCCTCTTCATACCCACCCGCCATCCGTTGAATTTCTTCGTCCTTTCGAGCCTCCACTCGCTGCTCTACGCTTGCTCCTAATCCTCGCGACGTGTTGCTGGCATGATTCTACGATTGCATTGTTTACGTTCTACGGCGACAATACCATCGCTCATGGCGCTCTCATGATTAGATCCAAGTATATGGACAAGGTCGAAGATGTCGTCGTATATATATCCCAGGAGCGGACAGACATGGCGAGAAAAAATCTACGTTGCGCTGGGCAAGTCGCAAACTAATACTTTTGTGGAGCATGCATGGTAGGGTACCAGAAGTCGATCATACATTCTAGGATGGCTCGCTGACACTCTCTGGCATTCTCAGCAACAACGCCCGGACGGCGAGAGCCGGCGTTCCGCGTCGCAACGAGGTTCTCGGGTATAGGAGGGTTCCCAGACCGGACAGCGCCATGGCTTGGGACCGCCAACGCTCACATCCCTTCGCCTTGACGCACGCGCGTCATAAGAGACCTGGGTGTCGCGGCGAACGACTATACGACAATACGACACCTACAGGAACTCAAGGCTTTAGACAAGTACTGCGTAATACTGGATGTAGACGAATAGAACCAGCTGCACGAAAAGCAGGTGGACGCAAGAAGTAAGTCGACGAGCCGCGGCGCACACCTTGGCCACGCCTCGGAGATTGGACGGAGCCTGAGCGCTGCGAGGCTGGTTCCTCCTCTCAGCCAGACTTCACCGGAGTCCAGCGCACCGGACTGCACTCATGGATCACAGAAGACATGACTGTGACGGGGGACGCGTCAGTATATAAGGACGGACACGGACTGAGTGAAAGGACTCGTAGCCTGCAAAATAACACGTAGTAGTCCTTAGTAGTCCCATGTCCCTTGAGACAGTATTAAGGTTCTTACACCGCCTGAGCATCGAACATCACGAAATTCAACACTTACTGATGATATTCGACACTTACTGATGATCATCTATGATTTTTCGCTGGTAGTGGCTAAGGATCGCGCTGATGCTGACTTGGAGTGGGTCCCGGTTGTAGGAGTTCTGGCGCAAGCTCATGTTGCCCCGATCGGGTGAGAAATCACGCACACCTGGGGTGGCGCATGCTATCGATACGTGATCAGACCGCGGGTATGAACAGTGGAAGATCTGCTACACGAGCGACGCCGCGACCGCGGTCGTGCGACGTACGTGGGATCGCACCGATCAACCAGAGATAGGTCATAGGAGATAGTCAGCGCGATGGTCCCATCGATAACGCAATGCATGTGCGCAGGGCAGACCATCATTCGTCCCTCCTTCGCGGGTTTTCTCCGAGTCCTTCTTGAGCGCGACGCTCATTCACCTTAGCCCACTCTCTTCTTGCTAGGCTTGAGCACGCCCATAAAATGACAGCCGATAATGAGGCATTTGATCCGTACGCTGGAGGCGTCAGGTTAAATTTGGTATCCGTCAGCGCTTTGGCAAAGTAGCCGTAGACGGTGGCTGATCCCAAACACTTAGGAATCTCGTATCGGCAGCATCCAAGGCGTCCCGTCCGAAATTTGGATGCTCGTGTTCATCGAGGCCTATAGTGACCACCAGGAGGACCGACACCGTGGTACGCTGTTGACGCTGACGGTGCGGACCGTTTGCAAATTCTTCCGCGCAGTTGCCGAGGCGACGCCGGAGCTCTGGTCTTATCTGGCCAGCGATTACGAATTGGCGTTCGTAGAAAAGGCTCTGGAACTTTCACGGCGTCAGCCCCTTGCTCTCAAGCTCTGTCCTCACGACAAGCATTACCGTCGCGGGCAGAATGATCATTTCCTCAAGCTCGTCGAGAGTATCCTGCCGCATTTTGCTCGGTGCAAAGAGCTCGAGGTCATCGCTTACGTCGGCGGCCTGGACTCTGACAATATCCGGTCCCTCCTTTTCCAACACCCGGAAACGGATGTTGCAACGGGCCTACCGAGTCTGCAGAGGCTGCGCCTCAGATCCTGCTCGTTCACTTGCGCCTCCCCGATTTTTCGAGCTACCTGCTTGACGGAACTCACAGTTGACGAGTGCTATATCGAGTGCGAGTTTGAGTCGCTTTTACAAGCACTGGGACGCTTGCCTGTCTTAGCCTCTTTATCGCTAAGCATCGCGCCCCGGAATGATCTCCGACTTCCCCGAGACTGGGGCGCGCGGCAATCAGACACGTTCGTTACGATGGATTCTTTGCGGGAACTGTGCCTATCGGCCCCGTTCAAGCACGCCGTGTACGCCGCTATCCGGCTGAGCATACCCTTCGAGTGCAGGACCTGCATCACTGCTGAGCTCCGGATGCGCGACGCTGTCCCGGAACCTGTTCTGCGCGAGGCCCTCACCGCTGCATTTGAGGAGCGCTTGCGGCGCATGTTCCCGGACAGCCCTGCTAAGTTAGGGTTGAAAGAAGTCTGCGTCAGGTTTGACGACGGCCACCGACCGTTTGAAATGTTCGTAGAGCTCTGCCAATCCACCGAACGCGGGTCAGAGAGCAGGTGTTTTGGCATACGCATCAGCACCGACTACAGCCGTCCCGGAGGCTGCGAAGAGCTGGCCTATGCATTTCGAACGATCGTCTCGTGGGACGCGGTGCGCGATGCCGACGTTTTCCGTGCTGGCAACTTCCCCGAGAACTGGATGCTATGGACAACCGTACTTAGCAAACGTTGCTTACTTCGATGCGTACAAGTCGAAGGAGGGGTCGCCGATCTCCCCCAGCTCTTGGCCCAGATGCGTGCGGCTGAATTTCCGCCGGCCCTGTCGCAGGTCGTTCTACATAACGCTGAGTTGGGGCTTACGCACTACGATTTACTCGTCCGCGGCCTCCGCCGGGCGTGCCCCCCCATTGAACACCCCTCTCAAAGAACGCTCATCCTTCAAGGCGGAACTACGATTTGGATGGGCAGAGGGGCAAAGGAAGAGTACCCCGTTCGCTGTGAGAGGAAGTTCGAGTGCGCCGCTCGCGAGGACTCGCCTTAGGAGTATCACGCTCGCGGCTGATGCAAGCCAGAGGCGACGTTGAAGGTCACCGAGGTCTAGCGGCTGGCTTTCGACTTAGCGGCTGCGCGGCCCCGGGAGCAACGCCGTTTGATTGTCCACCCTTTCACCGCATACAATTGCATGTTTTTTTACCATCTGATCGGACATTGG